CTAAATTAAATTAACGTTTCTTAGAATGTAAGGCAATCGTGAGATCCTATCATTTTTTTGTGTTCTTCATTATTCAAAGGTCTAATCTTTAAGCTTAATCAAGTGGACAACGTTAAAAAGTCCACAAGTTTTTCAAATTGGATACTTCAAATATAAATCTCTAAATCTGTTTACAAAAGCATATGTATCTACCATAATAAGTAAAGTGTTAAAAACTTTTGAATTGATAATGATGACAAAATTTAAGACCATGCTTAATTCATTGACGTTTGAAAAAATAATTGGAAAAGTCTATAGAAACTAGAAAGTAACATATGGGTTAAGGTAGAGAATCGTCTAAACAGCGATTGTGACAATTACTAGAAGACATGAAGAATAGTTGCATAAATTATTAAATGAAGTATCCACCTAATTATTAAACTTAGCCATTATAATCCAAATTATTTTAAGGCAGACCATGAATATGATGTGTTTTTTTAATAGGTCATGGTGTGTTTAGTTTAATCAGTTTGAGGAATTAGTTACAAAACATGCATATTTAGCAAGTCTCTAATGTAAAAATGATTAGAATGCACTAGTTAATACAATATGTTCTACGAGAAAATATTAAATGTGTAATGTTTATAACTAATTGTCAACCCCATTATTCAAATTGTCCCATTGGCTGGAGTCTCATGTGAAATTGGTATACTATTTTTTAATCGAATTGGAGCTTCTACAAGTACAAAAATAAGGGGAAAAAATAAGGGCAATTTTCAAAATTAATTAATGTCAAAAAAGAGAGTAGAAAGAGACTAATACAATGATGTTCAAATTCACCACCATTCATGACCAAGCATACATTGACAAGAATGTTCAAATTTTGCTACAATTTACCAATAAAAATTCACAAAAACGTATTCTTTTGCACAAAAAACAAATTTCAAAAGAGCCAGTTAACACTAATGTTACCAAGCCATATTAAAAGAGGGAACTGGACCAAGGCTAAAAACAGCAGAAGGTAATGATGTTTGCTCGAATCGTAACTCCTTACTTCAGCGAACAGAACACGTTTCATCGTCTTCACTAAGAAAATCCCAGTGCATAAACACGTCCATGGCATCAACGCGTAGTACGAGTATCCCCAGATAATCTTGGCAAAACTCGCAAGACATAGACCTGCATAAGCATAGCCTCCGTACGCCACAATGTCTAGTAAAGGCGCCTCTCCGCTACCAAGTGATAGAAGTGTTACTTTCAGGAGCATCACTTGCAAAAACCAACCAACCAATCCTTTCACAAACAGCCAATTCAAAGCTTCCGGTGTAAACCTAGAGAATATTTGAGTTTGAACACGGATTATTAATCTTCGGTGTCCACATCAATCATTCAAGCCCTAAGACTAAAACTCTTTA